GCCTAGAAATTCTGTCCATAAAAATAATGAACAGAACCGGTGACAAAGGGCAGTCCTGCCGGAGTCCAACATGCACTGGAAACAAGTCTGACTTACTGCCGGCGATGCGAACCAAGCTCCTGCTCCGGTCGTACAGGGACCGGATGGCCCTTAGCAAAGGGCCCCGGACCCCGTACTCCCGGAGCACCCCCCACAGGGAGCTTAAAAACAAAGACTTGATAATCAAAATGGTTGTAGATTAACTTTCTGTCAACCAACTAAATCAGTTTACCAACTAACTGATGGCTCTAATCTAAATACAATGCCTTTTCTGTATAGAGATATTGTTAGTGGATGAAAGAAGCAGAGAGGCTAATCTAATAGCTTTCACAAACATACCTGACACACCAAAGTACTTGATTACATTAATGCAAATACAGCAGAAGCATTTATCTGTTATTTATGATGTTTGTCAGAAACAGTATACTCAGGAATATGCGCATGAAACTTTGTAAATGTATTTTCACCACAGTGTAAGAGTGTGAAATTCATTGTTCTGTTTGGATTTGGGCTTATACTTAAAAAGAACTAGTTCGATATTTGAAGGAAAACATCTTTCGAGTTGTTCACGGCCTTGAAAGCGGAGAGAAAGCCATCCCCTGTAGAGAGAAGGTGGCAGGTTGTTCACATGAAACAGGCCACAGATGTTTTTGTAACACACAGAAAAATAGAACTAGAGAGAAGTTGACACATTGACTTCCTCACTGCTGCACAGCTGATCCATCACAGTGTGAAGTGTCTGCGAATGATGGATTTGTGTTGTGTTCTCTTACAGAGCCCATAGTGAGGAACGGCCGCCCTCCGTCGGCGCACAGTGTCCACTCCTTCCTCCACCAATACACGGGATCCTTTAAAAAGCCGCCACTGCGACGGCCTCAGAGCGTCATCGGAGGGGGCCTGGGCTCTCTCATGGTCATGCCCCGCAACGGTAGTCGTCTTGGTGAGAGACGCACACTTATGTCCACACACTGGTGTGATCACGTGATATTTGTCTTTCCTATTAAACCAGATTTACTGTGGGAGATTTGTCAGCAGGTGGAATCAGTTACAAAGGTTTTTATTTAAATTTGGAAAGACACAGGAAAGACAAGCTGCTATACTGTTTAATAGATCAGATAACCATCTCTGTGTAGAATATAATTTGCACTGAGTCAGCTGAGCCCACACACACACACAGAGTGACGTATTGTGTCTGAAAACATGCTCAAACTAGCCACTCCTAGAGGCATATGTTGGTGCCAACGCACACATGAATATCAGTTCAATCATTCCAGTGTTACTTTCAGTCATACAACAAAAAACCGAGTAGTGATCTTGGACACTGCTGGCAAACCAGCAGCCTGTATTCTCAGCCCAGATACAATATTTTAATTCATAATATTTCCTAATATAAATGTAAAGCCTGGACAAACACCTGCTCCTCCTCTCTCTCACTGTTTTCCCTTCTTTCTCCACTTTAGATATTGTCCATGAGAACCTGAAGATGGGGTCGGACGGAGAGAGTGACCAGGCATCAGGAACGTCCTCTGATGAGGTGCAGTCACCCACGGGTGTTTGCCTGCGGAACAGAGGGAACAGACGCATCTCAGCAGAGGTAAAATATGTTTGTGTTTTCCACTTCCGTTGCCCTTGTGTAGCCTTATTTAAATCAAGAATATGGTTTGGGGACGTGAGTCACTGGTTACTACTAATGAGCTTTGACGATGGAATATGTTGCTGGTACGAATGACACATTTGTCCATCTAGGGTCGTACCAGCTGTAGCGGTTTGTTATTGAAGCTATGTTTTAATTAATTCACGGAAAAGCAAAGGAGCCAGAGTGTTTTCCGGTCGACCTTTTTCTGTAAGAAATGGTATTTAATGATGTTTGCAATACAACACCAAGCTGTAACTCAGCGTGGGTGCGTTCTCATAGTGTGTCATGAACACGCAGCTGCCCACACAATCTCTGCATCAGACACATACGCATACAGTGACTCCACATACTGTACTTCTTTTGAAATCTGCCACCACGTCCACCCACCAAATGGACTCACTTCACTCTCCGTCTCTCTCGCGTGCACACACTGACTCATGCATGGAGAGGCAGATTCTGGCATTCATCTGGTGGGTACATATCATCAATGCATGGAAAGACTTCTCATTGTCATTAATATTATTTTTGTTGCTGTCTAAGAGAGATTGCGTTTCAGCACAAGCAGTTGTTTGAATCCAGGGTGGGTGATTTTTGCACATATTTAAAATTAAAATAATACAACATTGTCATCCTAAATAAAAAAAATTTTAATGGCCTGCATTGTGCTGAGTTTAGAAGAGCATGTGGGATAACCTGATGTTCACACGTGCAAAACCCCCTTCGAGAATTTAATCCAGCTTGTAAGGACACATAAGGAGAAATAATGCTGGTGTGTACAGCATACTGTACTCGTTGGAGTTTTACTTGCACCACATTCATTTGTAGGTCCCAGCTGTAATTAAACTGAATACGATAGACAAAATGACATCAGTCTTTGACGCTTCTTTCATTTGTTTATTGTTCAACATAATCAAGAATTAAATTTTATGCCTTATATCTTATGGTTCACAGGATTTTAAATATCTTAAAATTGCATGTTAAATTTGGCCTTTGTTTACAACCAAGCCGACACTGGGGCCAGTAAATCCATTATAATGGCTCCTAATGGGATTTTAAGGTGTACAGCTGGCATGAGTCAGTACCGCTGGCTGTTCAGTTTCATAGTGAGAGCAAAATATTGGGTAACATTTGTCTCTTAGTATGTTACATAGGAATTAGATTTATAATCACTGATCATTTTCACAGTTTTGTAGCCAAATTCATTTGCCCTGGACTGTGTGTTTGCTCTGTTTTTAATAAAGTGATATCATGTGTGTGGCACATCCTGCAATCCCATTAGGGATGAATCTTGGCTGGATGGACTCCCTTAAATACCATTAAAACATGACGTGACCAGTTTATGATGCTGCAAATAAAGTTTGCTCAGTTTAACACCTAGAAATCAGCTAATTAAAAAAAAAAAGGCTTTAAAAAAAAAACTATTGGTTGATTTAATTTATAAGACGACGACACACACACAAACCTTTAAACATGCAGTTAAGCAGCTTACTTCATTTGGGGCTACCCACACACAGAGACATGACACGTAACCTTTTGCTGTGAACAGAGAGCACTTGCAAGCAGCACACCACACACACTTCCTGTGACTGTTTCACAACCAGGTAAAGTTTATTTGGACAGAAGCACATGCACACACATTCACAGAGTTAAAAGCTGATTCTTTCCTGCAGCTCAGACAAACACTCTGTGCTAGTGTGAGCGGTGCGATTGACCGCAGGCTTGTTGTTACTGAAGCGTTCCAACTGTAAAATCACTGTGTGGCCACTAGTAGAAGAGGAAGGAAATGCTGGAGGAAGACTGAGGAAATCCACCTGTCTTTGATCAGGTGGCAGATTGTCCTTCTCTTGCTGTGGAGGAAGTAGTGCTGTTTGGGATTACATCACAAGGATTACAGTAATACGGTCCAGTTGGGCCCCTGTTGTAACAGATTAGGATGAGTTGACGGGACAACTAGAGGAGGGTTGGGAGGTGCAAAGGTCAGGCAATGGATGGCAACGCTCGCTGTGAGTACACACCACCAATCCCAGTCCTGCTCACAGCGACCACAGAGCAGCAGAGCTGTCTGTAATATTACTCAGACATGGAGAAACAGATGCATGTTAGAGCAGTTTGTGATCAAACTGAGCATCTGTTGCATTTGTGATTAATCTTCAATCAACCATCTGGACCATAACATTTCAGAAAATAATGAAAAATGTCTATCACACTTTTATATACTCTAAGCTGTTTCAATTTATTAGTTTTGGCCCCACCAGACAGTCCAGCCTCCTGAAGATTTTCAGTTTAATATCACAGAGAGAGCCAGCCAGGATGAGTGAAGTTTGTGGCATTTCTCCTTTTGTCATTGATTATCTGTGAGATAAAAAGTAAATTAACTGTCTGCATTTGATAAATCAGCTCTACGCTGTACAGTGAGCTGTAAATTATAACATCTTAAAAGATCTGGTATAAAAAAAAAAACACTTTTTCCTTTTTTGTTTGAAATTAACATGGTCTGTGATGAAACTGATTTAAAAGTATGCATGGATACACAACAAGAGATTTAATTAGTCATTAAATGGATTAACTGACTTGCAGAAAATAAACTTCCAATAATTTTGGTTAATCATCGAAGTTAAGATGCACATCTAGCTTGTCTGTTGTACTTTATCATTTTAAAATTAACCTTCTGATATTGTACAGAATAAAGAATTATCCATAAGTAAAAATGTATATCATTAACCAGTAACAAAAATAATAATTGTTAGTTTCAGCTGTTAATATTTTACAAGAGAGGTAAGCCTTAAAAAAACAACTCCTTGCGGTATCTCTTGAGGTATTTTCTTAATTTGCAACAATAGCATTAATTTCCGTGAAACCAACCTCCTGTCAACAGTCAGCCACAAAGGCAACAAACCCAGTCTGTTTAAATAAAAGGCTGAAGGCTCAGTTGACCTGTCCAGGGGTCGGTCACATTCGGCTACTCATTTATCACTGAGCGTGTTGAAATGTGGAAAGTTCAAGGTTGCATATTGTCATCTATTGGAAGGGGGGGTGGGGGGGGGGAGCAGTGGTATTTTAAGTGTTCCGTGTTACCTCCTTCAGTGTTACCTCAGAGAGAGAGGAGGTAGATTTAAAGCAGCTAGAGAGAGAGAGAGAGACTGGATTAACAGTAATCTAACAAATAGAGGAGATGCATGACGGAAAGAATCCAGACATATTGTGTGTTTGATTTTATATAACAAGTCATTAGTGCGTTGGTACTTTTTTGTTCTGGGAAAGACTTTACCCTGAAAACTATACAGACACATGCGGCTATGAGTGTATTTACACAGACATGCTGTACACAGTGCCCTCTGTTAAGTATGGACACCTGAAGCTGGCTGTCTAATGCTGGTTGTTGCGTATTGTACTTGTTCACTCTGGGTTTCAGTCATTTTGTTGTCAGTCATTGGTATTTATTCAGAGCTTGTGCTGTTTGCTGAGGGTTTACTCTTGTTTTTTTAGGGTTTTGCACCATGACACGGTTTTTAAATTGAGTTTCTCCTATTTGTCTGTGTGCGTGTGCAGGACCTCAACAAACGTTTGTCCCTGCCGGCCGACATCCGGATACCCGATGGTTACCTGGAGAAAATGCAGCTGAGCAGCCCGCCATTCGACCAGCCGCTGAGCCGACGCTCCCGCAGAGCATCACTGGTGAGAGTGCGACGAGAACAGGGGTGGGGGATAAGGAAGGGCTGAGAAACTAGATCACATGGAAGAAGAGAGAAGTTTGATGAGACAGAGGGGTAAAATTAGGAAGAGGTGTCCTTGACACTTGCATTATAATGGCATCGTTCCTGGTTTAATTACGGCCAGGGACCTTTGTTGCCTGTCATCCCCCTCTCTCCTCCCTTTGTGTCATGTTTGTCTCCATACTGTCAGCTGCCTGATAAAGGGCAAAGAAAATGCTCAGAAGAAGAAACTGAGAAGTTGTTGAAAAGGAGACAAACTGATAATGAATGCAAAGTAAAAACCAAAGTCACCTTCCTGTTTTCTTACTGCTCTGAGGTGCAATGATGTAGCTACCATGTGGTTTTACTGTTGGGATGAAAAACGATTTCATATCCTACATGGTTTATTAGTGTCCTTACCATATGAAAGCACCAGTCAAAAAGGGACGTGCACTTTTTACTTGGGGTAAAGGAGCAGTCCCACAAATTACAAGTACGATTCTAAAAATAAAATGTGTTCAGTGCATTTATTTTACTTAAATGAAGCAGAACTGAAACAATGGACAGGAAATTAATTGCCAGCTATTCTGATAATCAATGAATCGTGCAATGAATCATTCATTTAAAACCTTTTTTCTGCATCTCCTTTGTGAGGGTTTGCTGCTTATTTTCTCTTTGTCTTATTTGACAAGAAAATGTTTGTTTTGAAGTGTTGGTGTTGATGAATACGAGCTGGCTGAAACCGATGGCATCCTCATCTTCATGGGATTCAGGAAATTGTAATATTGCTTTTTTTTAAAAACAGTTTTAGACATTGTAGAGGCTGATTGGTTTACTGAGAATGATTAAGTCAGTGAAAGTAATTATTTGCTGGAAGGCCAAAGAAGTGCTAGAAATAAAATCTTTAATATCAGAATAAAGAGATTTTACTGTGACTGCTCAAAGAGAGTTTGTTTTTGGCTAATCCAACAAATTAAATACCTGAAAAATCCAGGTACTTTATCACATGAAAACTAAATCCTATATTACCACAAAGGTAATTAATTTTCAGCATTGCCCACAGCGGCCTGAGACACCCATGGCTACCTGTATGGTCCACAGATGTGCATCTTATCACCTCTGCCTTCCTCTCATGTTTAGCAACTGAAGCTGGTAACCGGTGCCTACAGTTGTCAGTGAAACCTTGTGGCATTTTAGCTATATTATTTTCCTGTTAAATGGAGTGGAGGAAAAGTGCTAACATCCATATTGTTCTTATGTGGATGTACAATACTGACAAGAGGCACTGATTTGAGAACTGACAGTGGAGCAGGGGCAGGCAGAATGAGAACAAAACAGAAATGGAGGGGCTGTGGATATAAAGACAGGTGTGAGAGCTGTTTTATTTAGAGGCAGCAGGAGAAAGAAAGAGCACAGCACATGCCTTAGGCTGTCAAACCTCATCCTCTCAGCCTGTTGTCATGTGTTTTCCTGGTTTTACTTTGAATATTCATCAGTCAAAAGCAGAACAGAAGAAAAGTGTGAACCCCACCCTGTCCACTGCGTTTGTATACACACTCACCTTCAGAGCAAATGTCTACTCAATGTGTTGAACATGTTGGAAAGCTGCGAACCCCCAGATCTCTCCGCTCATCTGGCACCGGGCTTCATTCTGTACCAAGTGGTTGTGAAGTATTACATGGATTTATTTATTTCATTTTATGATTGCTAAAACACATCGGGGCTGCAACAAGCGGTTTGGTTGATTAACAGTTAAACGGCAGGTTATTTCTTGATTAATCAAGTTATTGTTCTATCAATAAAATATCTGAAAAATGTTAGTTATAATTTTACACAGCCCAAGGTGATGTGTTAAGTTAGCAAAGTTATTCAGGGATTAAAAAAAAAAAAGAAAAAGCACCAAACCTTAAATTAGAGGTGAAACCAGCTCATGTTTTGGCATTTTTGCATTAAAAAAGATCAATTATCATAATAGCACATTGGATGAAACATGATCTATAGATAAAGTTTCCCTTCACATCCTTTGCCCATAAGCAAACACACACACACAAAAAAAAGCCAAAAGCCAGTGGACACATGTCACAAGAGATTAGCCATGATGGTGGGTGGCGTGTGTGACCTCCATACATCCCCCCACCCCCGTGGCTGCAAGGCTATCATGAGGATTTGTTGTGGTTTCTCTAGTGTTGTCACTGCTAATAAAGACGCTACTCTCATTAATGCTGTTTGTCTTTTTTCTCTCCTCCAGTCAGAAATTGGATTTGGGAAGCTGGAGACCTATATCAAACTGGACAAACTGGGGGAGGTATGTTAGTGTGCATTCTCTGGTAAAACCTTGACTTCTGTTTGGTTGTCCCCTGGGTACTAATGTTTTCATACTTAACCAAATAAGACACACAGACACGGTTCTAGATTTGACTTTTAACCCCTGACACTAGTGTTCTGCATCGGTGCAGCCATCAGTGCAGTGAAACATTTCCTCAACTCTTCTGCCCTCCAGGGCACGTACGCCACAGTCTTCAAAGGGAGGAGTAAGCTGACAGACAAGCTGGTGGCACTGAAGGAGATCAGACTGGAGCACGAGGAGGGGGCGCCATGTACAGCAATCCGAGAAGGTATGAGGGTTCAGCGTTTCACCGCTAGTCCTGCATTGGCCTCCACTTAGATTTGATGTGGATCCTAGTTTTTATTAAGCAGCTAGTTTGTCCAGTTCATGTGTAGGACTTGTTGTGAGCCTTGTAGAACAATGACAAGGTGCGTGTACAGAAATGATTTTCACCCACTCTCCAAGAGTAATGTATTGTGGTTAGTTTAGAGTGAGAGTATAAATACAACCATAGGAAACAACCCCCACATACACGGTGTGCAGTCTTGCCTTCACTTCCCCTGCAGCCTGCAGTACACGACATCAAGCATACATTTTCGGTTTTGATGCGATCTCTAACCAGCTCAGGTGGAACCTGGACTGTGCAGATGTGTTCTGTCTGAATAGAAGAACTGACTTGATCAGTGTAAATCCTCAGGAAGTGAACTGAGCAAACTTCAACAAGTATAATCACATCTTCACTTTTTATATCCATCTTCTTTTTCTGGGTCTTTAGTGTCATTACTGAAGGATCTAAAACACGCTAACATCGTGACACTGCACGATATCATCCACACGGACAAGTCGCTTACACTGGTCTTTGAGTACCTGGTAAGACCAACAAAACCTTTGCCCTCTGCTTCTGTGTGACTCATGCTATTCTGCTAAAATGAATATATGACATCATTATTATTCATGTCCCTCTGCAGAGTAGAGCTTGTTTATTAAAACAGTTTCTCTCTTTCACCCAGGACAAAGACTTGAAGCAGTATATGGACGACTGTGGGAACATCCTGAGCATGCAGAATGTCAAGGTGAGTCTCCTCTGGCGGCCTGCTAGCCCAGCCACCTTCACTGCCTCCAGACTTTGTGGCTGCTGCTGGTGTGAAGACAAAAAAAAAAAAAAAGCACTGCTAGTGCACCCCCTGGTGGTGGACTGCAGACAATGTGTATCTAGGGGTTCAACGTCTTGCCCAAGGGTACTTTGACATGTGGACTAGAGAAGCTTGGTATCAAGCTGCCGACCCTCCAGTTAGGTGACGGACTCACTCTACCTCCTGTGCCACAGCTGCAGTGTCTGTGCATTTTAAATTTATTCTGCTAACAAATCTCTCTTCCAAGGGGATTTGGACAAATTGCATATAGGCAACCAAACCTGCAGTGTATGATTTTTAGTCGGCACCACGACTTTAAACTGATTTTACTAACACGGTGCTAGTTGTTGATCTAAAATATGTCTCTTCCAGATCTTTCTGTTCCAGATCCTGCGAGGTTTGGCGTATTGTCACAGACGGAAAGTTCTTCACAGAGACCTGAAACCCCAGAATCTGCTCATCAATGACAGAGGAGAACTCAAACTGGCTGACTTTGGTAATTGATAGTTTTGTATTTGCTTATCCGGGACCGGGTCGCGGGGGCAGCAGTCTAAGCAAAGATGCCCAGACTTCCCTCTCTCCAGACACTTCCTCCAGCTCCTCCGAGGGAATGCTGAGGCGTTCCCAGGCCAGCCGAGAGACATAGTCCCTCCAGCGTGTCCTGGGTCTTCCCCGGGGCCTCCTCCCGGTGGGACATGCCCGGAACACCTCCCTAGGAAGGCGCCTAGGAGGCATCCGAAACAGATGCCCGAGCCACCTCAGCTGGCTCCTCTCGATGTGGAGGAGCAGCGGTTCTACTCTGAGCGGTTCTACCATTAGGATGATAAAGTTACATGTTTTAATTAGATAAATTTGTAGTGTTTTCTAATGAAACCCTTCATGTGGATTTCATTAGTTTGGACTAATTGTGTCCTTTGGATCTGCTTTTGTTTTTCATGTTTCTGGTCCACAGGCCTAGCGAGGGCCAAGTCCGTGCCCACTAAAACATATTCTAATGAGGTGGTAACACTTTGGTATCGGCCTCCCGACGTGCTGCTCGGTTCCTCGGAGTACTCCACACAGATAGACATGTGGTGAGTGGGACTCAGTCATCAGGGGTGATTACAACTGTTAGAAAACACTATAGGACTACACAGTGTAGGTGCAGGCAAACACAATCCTCAAGTACAAAGAATTTCTGGCTGTATTTATTTTAGGTCTCTTGCCACTTCACTGATTTGTGGAGTGAGCACACACTTTTTATTTAGCTGATGCACCTGCAAGCAGATAGAGTAGGTGTCCTCATTGGCAGTAAGGAGACTCTTATGGGATGCAACGATAAATAGTTTCCTCAAATTTCCAAATGCCCTGCTACTTTGACAAATCAGTTCTTTGCCGTTTCATTTGCTGGACATATTGAGATCAGCCTGTAAATGTACAATTCAGAGTTTAATCCAAAAAGTTAATGGTACTTTAACTACACAAGGCTTAAGCCTCAGTCAGGCATCTGTTGGTCACCTTCTCTCTCCTGTCTGTGTCTTTCTGTCAGGGGTGTGGGCTGTATATTCTACGAGATGGCCGCCGGCAGGCCCCTGTTCCCAGGCTCCACAGTGGAGGATGAACTGCACCTCATCTTCAGGCTGCTAGGTCAGTGCTGCCCCCTGCTGACACTGAAGCAGTCTGACTTTTAACACAAGCCTTTAATGGCATTAACCCTGGCACATAACCCCTGTGGCAGCGTGAAAAGTCCCTCCAGCTGCTATGGCCAAGTACGGCTCTAACAGAGTTGATTGAATCTCCCTCCACAGGCACTCCCACTGAGGACAGCTGGCCTGGTATATCCTCCATCGACGAGTTCAAGTCTTATAAGTTCTCCATATACAAGGCTCAGCCACTCATTAACCATGCACCCAGGTAAGACTAGGATATTCATACTCTGCTGTCACTTTATCTTCTGTACATGGATTGTTTTTAACATTAGTGTTGTACAGCTTAATGCCATGTTGCATGTGGTCATTTTTACTAGATATGTTACTGTTGCACACTCCTCCCCTTCACTTCTTTTGTTAGCCCTACTCTGTTCACTGGAGATAGAAAAGAACAAATATTTCTGATCAGACCCAGGTATAAAGTTGCTACTGTGTGTACAACTTTTAGTGAGCTAGACATTAGTATTATTGGTTTGTTTAGTTAGACCTGTGTGCTCTTTGTCGCTTCCTGTAAGGAAATCCTGTGGAATACTTGATTCTGTTTCCTTCCTACACTCGCCAGCATCTGTGAGTCACCCCACCTCTACTGACCTCCCCCCTCCTGCTCTCTCTCTCTCTCTCTCTCTCACCCCCCCTCCATCCCTTTTACTTCTGCCAGTATCCTCCTTCCCAGAATTCATGCATCCCTGATCTACAGCTGGGTGGATAAAGTGAGCAAGGGAGAAACAGAGAGAGAGGAAGTGACTTGCATCAGTGGGGTAGGGACTGTGTGTAAATTACCATGCAAGGTAAAATCAGGAAAATGCATTGACAACAAAGTAAAACACATGTAAATGTAAACAAAGCTGTAATAGTCTGTGGAGGCAAGAAAAAAACAGATTTTGTACCAGTGCCAAGAAAATTTGTTTCAGGACTAAATAATTATAAAATAATAAAAATTGTATAATTAATTTATTGTTATGGTCAGTTTATTTTTGTTTCCCCCCTGCAGATTGGACACCGATGGCATCGACCTGTTGATGTCATTCCTAAAAGTGAGTCTCACAGTATCTGTCAGGCATTAATGCAGTGTTAAAAGCCATGTAACACATTTTGCAGCTATGTTAGGACTGTATTTTTGGAAGGAAGCATGCCAACAACACATTTACACACACACACACACACACACACACACACACACACACACACACACACACACACACACCCCTTCCAAAATGTTCTTTAATGACAGTGCTTCACTTACTGCCCTAAATTTCAGTACGAGTCGAAGAAGAGGATCTCAGCTGATGAAGCAATGAAACAGCCGTACTTCAGGAGCCTGGGGCCACGTGTGCACACACTGCCAGAGAGTGAGTAATGAAATGGCAATGCAGTAATGCAGACTTGGCAGACTCCACCAGTACAGCTTGAAGGATATTGCAGCATACAGTGACAATCAGTTATAGCCTCATAACAAAAACACTATTGCACTGACCAATACTATGTTTTGCAGACATGTCCATATTCACACTGAAAGAGGTGCAGCTGCAGAAAGATCCCAGCTACCGGAACTCATCGTACCCTGAGTCAGGTGAGGAACAATCTAAGATTCAATACTGTGAGTTAGTTTTCATAGCAGTGGCTGTGACAACTTAAACCAGTTTGCTGCAGTTTGAATCAAAATAGCACTCCTTTTTACCTCACCCCTTCTGAGTATTGACTCAAATCATGATACACATACCTGTAGATTCGGTTTGACTTCTCAAGGATATCTTTCTCTTTTTTTCTGTTGCAAATAAACATACATCCTTAAAGCTACAGCATGTAACTTAAGCTAGCACTAGCATGAAAATCAACCTACTCTGCTGCACTCAGCACTCTCTCTCCCTGCTCCACTGCTCTCTATTACACTCCACCAGGCTCTGCCCAGCTATTCCAATAGGTTGTTATGAAATTACAGTAAATGAGAATGCAACAAAACATATTTGATAGAAGGCTTTGACAGCCTCTCCACATTAGGACAGGTTTTGGAGGCTAACAAAATGGGGCTGAAGTTGTATCCTACCTTTTACTTCCTGTTCACAGCAGGAGATACAATGTATCAAATTGCTCCCGGTGGCTTGACTAGCGCCGTTGTGTGGCAGCCTTGTCGTCATCGGTGTGTGAATGTGTGTGTGAATGGTGTATAATCTCCCTGTAAAGCGCTTTGGCCAGTGCATAAAAGCGCTATATAAATACAGTCTATTTACCATTTACCATATGATAACTGTGGTTTCAAACTCAGTCTGATTGTGTTGAATTGTAATGTTGATCTACAGTGTCTGACTCTGCTGTAAAGATATAAAAACACAATGTAAGCTTTTCCTTCCCCCCCCCCTCAGGCAACGGCAAGAGCAGAAGACAAAGCATGCTGTTTTAGAATCTCTGGACTGTATGTTTTTATTTGGGAAGGATCTCCTAGCTGTGCAGTCTCACCGATGGATCAGTAACCTGAGATGGATGTTGGCGTGGAGCATCATCACTCCCCCAAAGCTGCTTGGGAAACTTATTCACAGTGCGACCCCTCCCAGGTTTTGGCCTGAACCTGCCCAAGAGAGACATTTATATACTGTACATCTATATTTATTGAGAAAAGAATTTGCTGCTAAGTCCAACTACTGTCTAGAATTCTAACTGACTCAGTCACTTTAATGAGTACATGCAATGTGTATGTGTAGACTTTTTTTTTTTTCTCTTTGAAGTGATGGTGTTTTTAGATTTTTTTGGTGAATATTTCCATTTTCCTATCTAAACTCCACCTCAAAGCTCCTCAGTGTGAGTAGTGCGTAAGGCAGACGGACAGGGGTGATTCTGTAGCAGCTGAGAAGGGGTTGACTTTCTCTCTCTGCTGCCTCGGTGCTGTTCTCAGCTGCACAGATTATTTGAGACCATTTAGTTTGAAAGTTTGAGGCCAGTTTTTGATACAGCTGGTAATTTGTCCTAACTGGAGATTAGAGTGAGAGCTGTGTCCAAAAAGATCACATTCTTGTCAGATGCATATCATTCCAGGATGGTGTGGTCTCTGTCATGACCAATGAACAAATGCAGGAGGGAATAGGCAGTGTAGAATTATTAAGGGCATTACAGGATTAATTACGCCTGCTGTATTCTAAGATTAAAAATATTTAACTGCAGTTAATAACTTGATCAGACACATTATCTCCTCTGGTCTATTACAAAGAGGAGTCTGCAGTTCTCCCTTTGTATATTACAGAAGTTTTCTTCTTCCTGCCATTCCCATCGCCATCACCTGTAAAAAAAGGATTTTTTTTATTTTTGGATTGCCTCCATCATTGTGTTGCATGCCTGCTCTGTTGTATGAGGAAGTGCACAGCCACTGAACTCCTAACCCAGGGAGCACTAGCTCTAGTCCTGCCCTTAGTGAATACTGTACTGAGTCACAGTCTATTTAACAGTGTTACAAGAGATGTTTTGTATGATATTCTTTATTTGTGGATAATTGTTATTGGTGTGGGATTTTGCAGATGCCCTCCCATTTGAGCTTTTTTTTTTTTTCCAGAGTAAAACTAAAGTTTAAACAAATTACATGAGCTGGTTTGGATTTGTTTTTCCTGATGTGCAGACACCTTAAGGGCAACACGCACAGGCGGCATAACGAGTGTCAAAACACCCACTCCCATTGTCAATGCAAGGCCACACACTAGCGACAAACTGCCTATTTGTCTGGTATCGACATGAGTCAAAAGCATAAAATAAAAGTACTCGCCCATTTTGGTAGTCCCATACTGAACTTGGGTCGCTGTTACTGTGCGTTACCGCCCCCGTGTGTGTGTGTTGCCCTTTACATTTGTCACATTCTGTTTTAGTTATTCTAACTTCAAGGCACTTATGTTCAAGCATTCAGTGCTTTGTTTATTGAAAATGACAACATTCTTCACAATACAAAAAATATACAGAATACATACAGTATACCAAGTCCAGTATAAAAAAAAGAACATTACAAGCATTACAAAGGTATTTCATTGATTTTGAGCTCTTGTCTTCATTAATAGATTCTGAAATAAAGAGTAAAAATAGGACAAGGCACAGTCGCTATCATCTGAAAAGCATAGTGCTTACATAACATAATACCACATAAGTGAAACCATCAGTTTCACATTGTGATGACATTTAAGGATTTTTTCCCCCCCCCACAAGATTAAAAACAACTGAGCTCTGTATGCAGAATGAGAAGCTGGCTAGTCTTCTGCAGCTAGCTACACATCACTACTGTCCATCTTGGACATGGTCATTTGGAAACATGCTGGACTTGATCACAAAGAGCCAGACGTCTCACAGACGTCTCAGCGTATGGCTTTTACCAAGTGCTTTCAACTACTGGCATTTGAAGCAACTCAAGTGCAAAAAGATGAGGTCACATACTGTCTCAGTGGACATTTCTAAAGCAATTTTTGAATAGACAAGAGACCGCTGCTGCTGCTGCTGCTGATGATGATGATAAAATGAAAAACTTTCTAAAAGAGATGGAAGAAGATGGGAGGTTTATCACAGACCTTGGATCAGGATTTGTGGGTGGTGGGGGACAGGAGAAGGGAGGAGGGTGTTCCTTCCAGGTTTGGCAGATGGATGGGCATGTGTCCGTTGATTAGGCTGGGGAACTGTAGAGGAAGAGAAAGGGGATGAGAGTTAGCAAGGAGGGGACGGAGGCTACATGAAAACTGGTTTCCGGTGAGGAACTGCAGCATTGTCACTGCTCTGGTTTCCTGTTTTGTTTTTTTTTAATTCATTGTGCCTCTTCCTTTCCGTCTCTGTCCACTGCACCTTCACAACAGAAGTGGTACAGTGTGTGCGTGCGCCTGTGGAGGGGGTGTGGTGTATGTGTGGTTCACAAATGAGGAGCAGCTCTCAAACCAGTCCACCCTGTTCAGACTGGCTCCCCTGGGCTCAAACAGGAAGTATTCACAGGATTTCCTCTCCCTCTCACCAGCACTGAAACAGGACACCTCTGCTGGACCTGCTTAAAAAGTCTCAACCAGTGTCACAGCTGCTGGCGTCTGCTATTTTGCACATCTTAAACATATCTTTAACTTTGATATATACTGTCTAAGTAAATATCTGCTGGTAAATGCAAAATCTAGAAGATCAAGACCCCAGTCATTTTATTACCTGTTGTGTGTGTGTGTTTGGAAATTGATCTAAGTATCTGCTCAAATGTTCCTGTCATAATCTTCACAGGTTAACAGCTGTTATGAAGAGCAGGGATTGTGTTGCAACATTAATCTCACCTACACAACCTCAACTTCCTCCTCAGCTTGGTAACACTGCCAGTAAAACAATAATACTTTGAGCACCCCCTCTGTTCTCACCTGCTATTTCGACGCTCATACTGTATGTGCACACCTGTATGTGTGTGTGTGTGTGTGTGTTCGCACTTCTTACCTGGAAGATTGAGCTGCGGCCCTGCAGCCGGGCGGGGCTGAGCGGAGCAACAGGGCTCAAGCTGCTCCAGAAGTGGATGCCTGATAACAGCGGACTGTGAGCCAGCAGCAAACCAGAGGGAGTCTGTTGCGGGTGGGGGTGCATGGTGGAAAAGAGTGAGGAGTCTTCATGTAAATAAGAAAAGCCAATGAAGACAAATTTTTTTTTTTTTTAGGCCAAACAGGACTCCACTAGTAGGAGAGCATTCCTCTGAGGGCTCTGGTAATGTAAAACACACGAAATGGTAAATGGACATACTGGCGTTTGGAAAAACAAACTGACGAGACAGGAAGTCTGTCTCTCCCCCAGAATACAGGGGTGATGTGGGGAGGTGGGGGTTGTTGATTTGGGGGAAAAACATATGAAATCAATTTCTCCCCCTCCCCCCTACTTTCCCTTGTGTCACCTTAGAGAACCAAAGCAGTACTGCGACCGGCCCTACTCCCATTATTAATGGAATTATTGAAGCATATGGAATCACTTAGGGCCTCCTCCCCACTCTCATAGGTTGGACTTGCAGGAAAAAAAAATCTGTAAATTGCTTGTTTTCCTCTGATCTCACTTTTACACACTCGTACACAGATGGCGTGAGTGCAGTATTAATTTCTCAATGTGTGGACAAACCTCTGATGTGGCAGACTGGCAGTGTAACAACCCCATTGTAAACATTAAATACCCGTTGATGCTTGAGCCTTTGTGATAATGGCAAAGATCAAACATTAAAACTGAATGACTCCAAGCATTTAGCTCCAAATCTGTGGCAGAAAATTAACAAAAAAATAAATAAATAAAAATGTTGTGTACAACCTGAATCCATCTTACTGTAATCATGGCTTTTGAGACGGGACAATGAAAAGAGGTGAAATCACTGACTTCACCACAATTTAGATCAGCAAATTTATATTTTACAAGCAGTTTTATTGTAAAATTTTAATTTGAGCATAGCCATGTTTCTGCACGGCCTGTTATTTACTGCATGTAAACACTGTGGCAGTAATTTGGGCCTTTGGACCACAGAGCTGTTTACTGAAAGTATTTGAAAGGCTTCATCCCAATCCAAACACACAGTGACTCATTAAATCAAATTCTGTATATTTAAAATTTCATTATGACAAACTGAAATCATACAGCTTTACCTTTTTCATACCTTTTCCCCTCTTTTTTTTCTGGCTGTGAGTGACCACTTGACTAAACAGAGCGGCAGTGTTTCCACGTACACATGCCAGGTTGTGTCAGATATCTGCTGCTGCTCTTTAAGTGCTGTACAGACACTGACATCTTACTCTGTACAGAACCCCATAATCTCCCCATTGTCGGCCAGGCCATCACACAGAGGAGGTGGAAACATAGCATCACAGAATTATTCGTGCTTTCTGAGATTTGATTATTACTGGGCTCACTGTACTTCAGCTGTGGCTTGCAGAGAGCTGAAATAAGAGACCTTGTGAAAATGTGACACAGGGCCGCACTGGGGTGTGTAAACATGTCTTGACTAGACCGAGAAGAAGCAGGTTTTAGAGCAAACTCAGGTGTGTGCAGGGCACACCATGCTATCGTTAATAAACAGTAATTATTCAATCCCAGCATCTGCTGGCCAGATGGTTGGGAAACACTTTGGAAGACAAGCTGGGTTGGTGTAGAGTCTCTAAACCATCTGAATCATGTACTGAGAAAATGCTTACATCCAATGTGCTGCCTGCCGGGAACTGGAGTTATGTATTATTCAGACAAGTCATCTCACCTGTGCAGTGAAGAAGGCAGGAGTGAGGGAGCCAGAGGGCAGTGCGGGGCTGCTGAGGGCGATGGAGCCGATGTCGCTCCCCGTCAGCAGCAGGGATGGGGCGGAGATCTCCAGAGCTTTGGGCTTTTTGTTTTTTGGTGGGAGTCCATCTCCTTGGTTACTACTACTACTACTAGAACTGCTTCTACCACTGCTACTGCTGCTGCTGCTCCTCTTCCCAGGAGGCTGCAGGGCTCGCTCTCTGTGCCCCGAGGAGAGGTTGAGGGGCTGAGCACTCTGGTCAGAGTCCTCCTCCTCCTCTTTGACAGCAGGGCTCCAGCTTTGGCCAGGCTGGGTGTGGGGGGAGGAAGGGGAGTGGGAGTGGGAGGGGAGTTTAGATGGCCTGGGGGAGATGTAAGACTCAGGCTTGGCAGATGGAAGGGAGCTCCTCTCATTGGCGCCAAAGCGGATGACGGAGCGCGGCTCCTCCTGCTGTTCACGGAGGGCACGAAGCAGCTCGGGCTGGTTCTGGAGGGAGCTGATGCTGAAGGAGGAGTAGAAACCTGAGCGGAGGTAGTCGTTCCGACAGTGCTGCGCCCCCAGGGCTGCCAGGGTTCTCTTCTGGGCCTCCTCCTCCCCTTCCTCTTCCTCCTCCTCATCCTCCTCTACCTCCAGCTCAGGGGCCTCTCCTTCCTGGAGGGGTAGCCTACCAGAAGACAGGCCCATTTCCACTGCCTGTAGGTCCATTTTCAAGATCTCAGGGAAGGACACAAACTTATAAACAAACTTCTGGCCAATCACCTTCTTGATGATGTTCTGTAAAACAGAAGCACCAGTGATGACGGGGAGGACTCTTTACATTATTTACCCTAATGTACAGCAAACTGACATTAACCTAGGAAATAATAACAGAACATGCGTAGGATATCATGCATTCCAGGCTAGTGAAGGCAAACTGCCACACTGAAACAGTTTAGTGTTACAGTGCTACAACGGAGCAGGAGCTCTAAAAAGAGGAAGTGGAAGTGTCTATCAGGGCAGAGTGCGGCTCTAAAGAGAAGCACAACAAGGAATCTGTAGCTGCCATGACAATATTAGTCAAACTGTTAAAGAGAAGTAGTCCCTGTACTCGATCACTACTCAGTTTCTCTCACCTTGTCGTAGTAGTAGCGCAGCGCTCTGCTCAGCTTGTCGTAGTTCATGTTGGTCTTGTTCTTGCGTAGCCCCCACAGCTTGGCCACTTCCTCTGACTTCAGGAGCTTAAACTCGCCGTCTGTGGACGTCCAACATATCAGGTGCTTGTGACTCTGGTCAAGCAGCAGCTGGAGCAGGAACTGCCACAGAGTGATGGCACTGTCCATACCTGCAGCAAGACATACAGATGACAAGATCAGTGGGAGAACAGTGAAAGAAATTACCCAGATGACGCAGAGCGTGGAAAACCCGTGATGGTTATTTTTAAGCTCTTCGTCTGATGTCCTCTGGGGTCTTTCTCCTGTGGCCATTTTTACTAAGAGACCAAAGCGAGGTTTTCCGCTGACACAGAAAAGCACAGACACTACCTGAATATATTCCACCTGCCAAGAACAAACCTTAGGTAAAGATGCAAGAAAGCTGTGCTCAGTATGGTCTAGGTTTTATTCCTGTCTAAACTAACAGCTTGTATTTGACTGTTTAGAACTAGAAGAGCTGAAGTTTGATTAAATGCTGTTTCCCCCTGATCTGTGCGAGGTATAACATGTGGAGTAAGGAAGACCAGACCCCTGATGAATAGAACAGTGTATGTTAAAGAGTGTAGTGTAATGTAGCAGCAGAAAAGAAAACATGAGGAGGAACAACAGCTCAAGCCAGAAATATGCTGCGGTTCAACCTGGCCCTCGCTCCACAGGAAGTATGATGGGCCCAGGGTGGGTTATTCCTTCAATAAAGGAATGTGCAGCCTCAAAACTGTCTGGCTGCAGGAGCTCGCGCATTAACAGTGGTGGGATCGTTTCCGTCACCACAGACTGTAACACCACATCAGTACTGAAACAGTTGATTAGTCAACTGGGGGATAACAAAGTGGAAAAACTTTGGATAATCACTTCATCATCAAGTCATTTATCAAGCTAAAACACTGGATTTGCCACACTTCTTGGCTTTACATCACTGTAAATTAGATATCTTGAGTTTTTGGACTATTAATCAGACAAACCAGATCATCTGAATCATCTTGGGCTCTGCGCAACTCTGACAGCCATTTTCACTATTTTCTGACATTTTAAACTTCTTTTTTGAACTAGATTAATCAATAATGAAAAGAGTTTGGCTCCTTCTGCCATATAAAATATATATATATAAGGCATCAAAAGGAGAATTTTGTTCTCACTCAGTTGATAGTTTTTGACCAGAATTGACAAATTTCACACTGCACACATTGCTACATTTTCAACTTCAATTCTTCTCTGTGGATCTGAGCAGTGATTAGTGACAGATGATCAGTAGAAACAATGATAACAAACCTTTCAGCCACTACTCACGGTATCTCTGTCCAGAGGAGAGAGCGAGAACTGAACTCATTTCCGACACAAGCTATCCCCTGAGTTTTCTATCTGCACTGCGAACCTACAAACCTGTCAAAGTCAGGACTTCCTCCTATTCTACTTTCAAGGACAAATGGTGAGGAGAGGGGATCCCACAGCAGGGGAGCATTTCCCCAGTCCTGCCACACTTCCCACAAAAATACCAGAGGGACGGGGTCCAAAGATTAAATCATTGCCCCCATTCCACAGCTCCACCCTTTAACCCACTCTAAACCCAGACTTCACTTTAGCTTCAAAGCAAGGTTTGCCAGTGCACGGCCACTGGGCTGTCAGGTCTACAATTAGGCCAGCGAGACATAAACACTCACCTTTGCAAGATGCTGCAAATAGCACAGTGGACCTGTGGGTCAGAAGTGTCTCAGACAGCACCAGGAGGAGGCTGTTAATACCATGAATTACAATAAAGTCATCATATCCTCACTACTGACACACAAACGGAAATATTAGAGTGATTACATTAGATGTCACTGCCCAACATCAAGGTGAATACAGCCACTCTGAGAACCGCAGACATGGTTCAGCTCTTTCCAGGAATATCACAGAAACACTGTGGCGGTGCTGGTCCGGGATGAGCCGCCCTGCTGCGGATGCTCTTACTGGGAAGTCTCGCTGTGCGCACAAAGCCTTCCAGTGTGTTGGCTGAACGGAAACTCCTAATGAGATTAGGTGGTGTGCGCAGACATTACTTAGTCATGACTAAATCTGCTCTTTTCCTGTTCGCACACGGTGGAAAATTCAACGGGGACTCAATAGAAAATCATCTCTGAATAGCTTAGACAAACTGTGAGGCTGTTTCTGAACTGCTCGCCCTTTGTTCGCCTCTGTTTGTGCAGGCTACGTTTGTATCCGGGAGCTGAAAGTAGCAGTAACGGTTACGCAAAGAGGTCTGGATCATTATTTTTGCTCCACTGACTCATTTTCAAGATGTTGCTCGGACCGGAAGACGCCACAACTTTGTCCGAATTTAAATCAGTAGCGATTTGTGAAAACTTAAAATACCCCCGATCCCGAGAGCTTAACAGGAGACAAAAACTCTACAGCCAAAACACTTTTATATAAAGTGTAAATACGGTGGTTAAGACGACTAACGATGCATAACTTCACTGTCTACAAGCCACCAGGCAACAAAGCGTTGTTCATAGAAATGGGACCAGTTGTTTAGCGTTACCTGCGATCTCCGAGTCGGTTTTTCCCTCTGCGAAACTTTACGGTGAAGCTTGTGTGATTCCTTGTTTTTCCATGCTTACTTCTGGTCTACACGGTTGTGCTGGGCTGAAATAGGATCCTGGGCTTTTTCTTTTTCTGAGCAGGAAGTTGGAGCAGGCAGACACAGAGCCGGCTGACTTCCTCTCCCCTACGATTCCCCAGGCAGTTTGCCGTCTGTGTAAACACACTTTTTCCTCCCCTCCTCTTCGCCGCTGCCTGCCCGCTGACGGACAGCAGTTGGCCTACTCTGTGTCGACACACGGTGATCCAGAAACTCCTACGGCCCGTAAACTGACATCATCAGTCCGCAGCCTGGCGTGGTGCCTTCAGGGCGCCTCGTAACTTTAGACACTTCCATCCATAGTTCACAAGTCGTGTGGCTTATACAATACTGCACACAAGAAAAATCAATATATTAAAAGAAAATGAAATTGCAGTTATGATGGATAGTTTTTGTCAACAAGAACGCTGAAACATTACAACGACTGCACCTCCAGTTCCTCCATGTAATAGGTCATTTACTGGCAATATGTAGAATACAAACACTGTTCTTTCTCAGTCTGTCAGTTTGTTAAATCAGAGTATGGGTCCTCAGTAGGCCAGATGGTAATACTACCATACTAGGGATCTAATGTAATACACTAAACTAGTGTGCTTTAGGACCTAACACTGCAACAATGTGCAATGAACTGTAATCACTTTAAATAGGTAAAACATTACAGAAGACAGGGCATCTTTGTGAGCTCCATTCTGCAAAGCAAAACAGGGAAAAGACTGCATCCTTAAAGAAACGGCTGAATATATCAGACACTGAGCTGCTGTCATCTGAAGTTAAGGTAGGTCATTCAGTCAAATCGTGGATAGAATCTGAGAGTTTGATGATCGACTTAATCACATAAGAATCAGTTTCATCACTCCCACCTATAGCATTTTGCCCAATTAACAGACTGAAGTGTGAATGTTTCTATTATTGTGCTGCTCAAAATGACTGACAGCAAGCAAAGGCATCACAATAAACAGGGTACTTCTCTCATTTCATGTGCAGGCAATTTATGATTAATTTCTTCACAGGTCTTTTAGAGAATAAAATGCACTGCTGCCACCACACAAGCATCTACATACTTGATTTTGTTGTTGGTAGTAAAATAATATGGTTCAGCTATTACACTTTCAGTAAAAACAGGTTACCTGTCAACAACTACTGTAAAAAGATCAGCGGTCCAATGGTACAACAAACTTCACTATCACATTCGGCTTCTTCAAACACCAGAGTGTTTTTGTGCCGCGGGTGCAGTTCTGGGATTACGTCAAATGAACGCATTTGGATCAATATGTTCAAACATCTCTGTGTTTGACCAACCTGTGGAGGTCAGTGTCCCTAAAGGTGACGCCGAGAGGCGTGGCTTCATGGGCCTGGTCTGATTGGCGGCTGAACTTTCTGCGGCCGAAGGTGGTACCTGGCGGAGCGGCGGGCAGCGCTCAGTGCAGCACAGGCCCGCTGAAGCGTAATGCCTCGTTTTACTGTCCACGTCCGTGATGAGTGGCTGGCAGTGCCATGCAAGGATACCACCAACACCATCCAGTGGCTCGGACAAGAAGCTCTTAAACGTTACACGAAGAACAAACCAGACAACGGTGGCATCACTGACGTGAAGAACACTCGTTTCTGTGCGCGCAGGTGCCAGGGTTTGGGTTTGTTGGACGCGGATGATACCATCGAGGATGTACTGGAGGATAATGACTTTGTCGAGCTTGGTAATGACTCTATGGATGAAAAAATATTTTTAAAAGTATAGTCACATTTTGGGGACAGCGATGTTTTGCCATTATCTGTGCGTAATCTGTGCGTAATTGTGCTAAGTCATATACCAACGGTATGAAACATTGAATGTAATTCGTTATCTACCAATAAGAGTAAATGTTTACAGTATGCGTTACTATCTTGTACTTCCAGCTATTGAAGGAGATTCCATGTCTCCTCACTTTATCCCGTGTGAGCGTGGAGTTTCTACCATGTATCCTTAAACTAATGTGCCATATACAATATACTGGGTACATTAATGGGCACTAAATACTATTTATTACATCCGCTTTTCATTTGCCCACGTTATTACATTGTTTTCGATTCTGGTTAACATTGAGGTTAATACTGATTTTTTTTTTATAAAATACATCCGAGTAATATATATATATATATATATGTACACACATAAGATGGGGTTTTACAGTGTAGGACCACACTGTCTTTTACTGAATATTATCCTTAATTAGAGTGTGTGAAATAGTACAACAACATACAAAGAACCTGAAGAAGTAAGTGTTTGCCCATTTTTCTATTTAAAATCTGAAACTATGATTTTGACTACTGCCGTTTAACACGTCTCTCGCTGTGCAGTATCTTTCTTTGGATGGCAACAGCCTGACATCAACCGATTTGGTCAACTTAGGCAGGGGACTCTACAAGATAAAGGTAATGATCGACAAATGTATTTGGCTGGTCTCTGGTAATCTTTTAACTAATCATTCACTTTACCACCATTTTCAGCTGACTCCAGAGGCAGAAACAAAAGTTGTGCAAGCCAGAGAACTTGTGGACACCATTGTCAAAGAAAACAAAGGTTAAGATCAATTTAAGAGTAAAGACCATAAATGTATGTCAGATACATTAAATGTACTTCTCTTACTTTTAGTCAGCTATTGAAAAACTACAGTACTCCAGAAATGAATGATTCAGTGTATTCAGGTATC